CTGCTGCAGTAGTTAAAATTTATTAGAGAGAGCAATATTTCTAATCTGTTATAATCTATATCTCATACATTGATATTGAATGCAAAGCTGTAGACCGTCGTTGAACTGCATCGAACTCAGAACAATAGAACTAAAGAAAAAATTTAGTGTTCATTTATGTTAAAACTTGAATCGATCGGACTCGAAATACAAAAACTCAAGTCCTTTAAAAAAATCTCCAGTCCGAGTCCAAGTCCGAGTCCGCCAAAAAATCTTCCAGTCCGGACTCGAGTCCGAGTCTAGACTCGGACTCGCCCATGCCTGGAAAGCATGAAGTTCTGGTGGAAAAAGACCGGTATCTTCAGGAAAAAACATGACGTTTTATGGAGAAATGCCGATTTCTTCGTGAAAAAACATGAGTTTCTGGTGGCGAAATACCCATTTCTTCAGCAAAAAACACGAAGTTCTTGTGGAGAAATGCCGATTTCGTCAGGAAGAAACCTGAAGTTCTTATGGAGAAATGCCAGTTTCTTCGCCAAAAAGCATGAAGTTTTGGTGGCGAAAGATGCATTTCTTCAGGAAAAAATGTGAAGTTATGGTGGAAAAACACCGATTTCTGCAGCAAAAAACCTGAAGTTCATGTGGCGAAGCACCGATTTTCCGGCAGAAAACTCCGTAACTTAATCGCCGCCGTCGTCGTCTAGACAAAGGTTTAGCAGTAAAAACACATTTTTCTGAACTTTTTTAGAAAGTTTTGATTTGTAATTTTTTGCCGATGGCCAGATATGAGCGAGTAAGTGGTTTGTTTGAGTATCGAGTCGAACCGAGTGAGAAAAAAGTAATTCCGAGTGGAGTCATTTTTGGCTTGACTAGATTCGAAAAATGACTCGACGCTCGGAAGTTTTTGTCACTAGTCGAGTAGTGAATCATATTTTTTTTCTCTGAGTCTGGTCGAGTCTGGTCGACTCAATAATGAATGACTCACCTCAACGAGGCGCCACGGAACGAGAAAAGCTTAGTATTCAACTAACCATTCTCTTCATCAGTGATTTATCTAGTGGGTGGGCCGAGAAACGGAGGGAAAACGTTGAGTGACTAAGTGACTATTTTCAATAATATAATAATAATATAATAATAATAATAAGTGTTATTTTAAAAACAAAATATAAAAGCCGTAAGGTTTCAATGTTTTCTTTTTTTGAATAAAAACAATTTAAAGATCTTCGTCATCTTAATTGGAATAAAAATAAACCATTTCTATTTTCACCACTCGGATTGTGAAATTCTTTCGTATAATAAAAGCCGAAGCGAGTTGAATCTTGAACACGTTTATTCATTTCAGAAGAAGAAAATGGAAGTAGTACTACTGCTGTACTTATTGGTGCTTATGTAAGTACCGGAACTAAACTACTGCTATTGCTCATTTTAACTTTCTCATTCTCTAGGCCGCACACTTCGCAACAATCAGGTACGTTCTTCGACGACTAGCAGCTACTAGACAGTTCTCCGCCTGCACTCTGCTCATCTCCTAGTTCAATCAGTAAATTCAACGGTAGCTACGTGCAGTCCATCTGCTTGTCTCCTTGGAAAGACGACGGCACGATGTTCATCAAACGTTGATTGTGAATGTTTCTCATTGACCAATAACACTTCAACAGGAATCTGTGCTGTAGCCGGACTTTCCTGTTCAAGCTTTGTTCGCTGTAATTCGGATAATATTACGTGTTCAGTCGACAATACCGTCTGTGTCAATGGTACACGATGTCAACAACCAGTCTGCTATCCACTACCTTTGGCTAACAAACAAATCTGTCCAGCTATTTTAGCAGGTAGGAGGAAGTAGTAGAGGGGTTTTAGCTGTTGCACGCTAATGTCTGGTCTGTCTTTTCTCTACTAAACTATGATTTCTAGTGGGACATATTTGTACTTTCACGTGCCTTAGGGACGACGACAATAACTGCATCGACTACAAGATCAGGTATTACCACAAGTGAGTTCTGTCATAGTGACTTTTTGGGTTTTAGACGTTATCTTGATGCATTTAAAAATTAACTTAGGTCGACAACCAACGACCGCCTCTACTTCAACAGGTAAGATGTCTGAGTTGGAATTGAGTAAGCAAAACTGTTTGATAAAGTTGTGGGTTCCTCATTGAACTTCATATTTCTTTCTAAATTTAGCTCGTGCACCAACTAGCAGGTCAAGCACGACGACTACAACCAAAGGTAAAGTTAGTAGTCGATATTTACCTTACTTTTATTTTGGATTTGTTTTTGCTTCAAGTCACCTCAACAACGCGTAGTATTCCTACAACCACAAAATCGACGACAACTGGTAAGATCTATAGGCAAAGTAACTATACCGCTCACCTTCATTTTCTCATTTTCTCATGAGAAAATGAAGGTGAGCTGTATAGTAAAAAAATCATCGAATTTTGATATGGCATATTTAGCTCGTCAAACTACGCCTCCTGCACACACTTCTACAGGCATGGTGTTTGTCACATTGAAGAGAAAACTTTCTCTAATTTGATTTTTGTTCTGTTTTGTTAGTTCGTTCAAGCACGACAAGTAGCAAGTCGACAACGTCTGCAGCGACTACGCGTGAGTAGCCTATGGCGATAGAAAGTTACGAAGAGTCTTACTATTTGTCTGCTTCCAGTAGGACCAACTACAACTCTCATACGAGCATCAAATACAACTTCTCGTCGGCAAACTTCAGTTAGCTCGACTTTCATTGCACAAGCGAGTATGACACTTGTCCCTTCCTGGTACGGTTTAAACTAGCGAGCATCCCTTTTTTAGCTTCTACGCCCAGCAGTGCTCCCATGACAATAACAACAACAACCACAACTACAGACTCGACGACCACTACAAGTACAACGTCACAAGGTAAACACAGAAAACATTTACTCTGTCAATAACCCTCTCGCTATACATTTCTCTTTTTCGAATCTAGCATACACACCTGTAGCTACGACCGTTACTTACGCTGGTTAGTCTTTTTAGCTTTTCATAAAATCACATACACAATTTTCACAGTTTCTTTTATTAACCTCTGCTTCAGACTGTACAATAAACGGCTCAAACCTTGTTACGTTTGACGACGTTAGCAACTGTACAGAATGCTTGATTCCAAACGGTTATATGAATTTGAAATGGACCAATGTTGGAGTTGTTGATCCGTCAAAAGAATCGTCAAATTATTTGACTTCTGGCTATGAAACTGCACTTACAAGTGGAAGTTACACCACATTTAACGATGATGGTTCTCCGATGACAATTTCGGCATCTGACAGTAACCAACCGTTTACACTTGGCTCGTTCATTGCTGCTTCTGCTTGGTACGACAACAATATCCTGACAATAACAAGTTCACGTTCCGGTATGGCAATGTATACAGCTACCTACTCATTACTGGTTAATACAGCTATGGTCATCCAATTAAATTGGAGTAATCTTGATTCCGTTACATTCAGCACGTCAAATTGGCAGTTTGCAATGGATAATTTATGTCTGGGAATTTCGAAGTAGGCGTGAAATTATATTGCACTAAGAAGAGAACCTTTTTAAAGTTTTAACTTTCACTTTTAGTATTTCTGGCTACGTTTCTCCTGATAGTTCGACAGTTCCACAAACAAGTATGACAAAAATCAAGTGATTCGTGAGTGTAAGTGATAGGGCGACCTTTTCTTTTTTTAAAATCGTTTTTTAGCAACTCAAACAACAACATCGACGACGACGGCTACTTCGACTATAACCACTACTACGAATTACAAAGTTACTGACTACGAAGATGGTGAGTTAAAAACCTGAAGGCTTCGCGCACTATCTAGAGGTGTTAGTCGATAATGCAGGCTAATGTACGAGTCATACGCCGCTGCCACTTTCATCAGCTAACACTTTTAACTTATCTAAAAGAAAGGTTGCTTTGAAACTCTGATAAACTGATAACAGAATTTCATAAAGCCTTCTTCATCTAGTAACATGTTCTCTTTCTCCGGTTTCTGCAGAGACAGGAGCTATCTAAAATCTTTTTCTTGTCTTAAATACCTCAGATGTGAACGATACAATCTATTGGGCTTCTGGACCTCAAACAGACCTAGATCCACTGAATCTGACAGGCTGGAGTGTGTGTTATCAGGATACGTATGACGTTGATCTTTACTTGACTCTGAATACTGCTTTATTACAATGTTACAAAAACAAGTTAATGATGTCATGTCGACCAATTAGTTCTAGTCTGCTGACCCTTGCAGCTATGGGCCTTCGTTCTGACGTTTTGTATGATTGCGGAACAAATGAATCTTGCACACACGTAGCACACGGGGTTGGATGGTACTTCAGTTCAAGTTTCAGTTGGGGATTTGTCGACGGTACAGATTCAGTTTACCGTGGACAGTGTGATACAACATCCTACAACTCAGATCTTCGTCTCTGTTGGCATACAGGTAACTGGGGTGTCGGTGGCTATCGATGTGGTGCTACAACGGGTTTGAATATTAATAACGGGTGGGAACGATTAATCTGGCATGCTGACTAAAAGGTCAAAATTTGAACGTGTGTCTGTGTTTCTGTCTGTAATTACTTATCTCTAACCTATTTTAAACATACACTCTCACTTAATCTAGTGGCTTTAACCTGTTACCAGTAGGTTTTGTGTGATTATTTTTAGGGAGTTTTCTGCGCTATATTATTTCCTTTTCGTCACATTATGTTTATCTATTCTTGAACCTTGTAAGAATATGGTCAACACTAACCTACTAATAGACTTCTAACTATTCTCTAAAATAAGCATTTACAATACAACAACAAAAATTATTCGCTGTGTTTATTTTTGTTAAGAACAAAGAAGATTTCTTAATACCTCAAAATGAAACACTTGATTTGAAATAATGTATTTTCTTTTACCTTTAAATGATGACCAAAAAAAAATGCATATGTTACGATTATAAGTCGAAATAAATTATACACTTGTAACTTTCTTGAGAAGAAAATTTTTTTACCACTTCTAATATAACAACAGTCTCTGACAGAAAATCGAAGGATGAAAAACGTTTTTTTCCGTTAATTTATTTAATTAGAGTAGAGGCTACAAGAAGTAAAGAACAAAACTCTGTCTTTACGTTAAATCGTTCAGTTAATCATTCTCTTCTCTTGCCCTCGGCTACTGTTTTTCATCCCATAGATTCCATTGATCGATAGTTGCGTGTGAAGGTGTCCAATCGAAGTTTGGTAAGTGAATCTGTTGTGCGGGACATGGAGAAAAGAAACAAAGAGACGGTATGCCTTGCCAGTTAGTGAAATCAATTAGACCACGTTGCGTAGGAATCGCTGTTGTTAAACTGAGGAGGAGTGCAACGACAGCGATGATGATGAAAGGCATGTCTGAAGGATTTACGTTAACGAAGTGAAAATAAAAAAGTGTAAATTATGAAAGATAAAATTCCAGCAGTGTGAATAACAGCAGATGGTCGAACTTGAAAGTAGAAGAAGTAAACGAAGTTAAATGGAGTGACACTACTTACTTAAAAGAACCACGAAACAAGCATAAATTCTTTGCTCTGGGGCGTTTGACGAATTGATCTTCATCGGTCGAAACCAGTGGTGGATCTACCTGAGGGCGAAAGGGCTTACGTCCCCCATTCCAAAACTTATTTTCTCAGCAAAAAACTTTCTTCATTTTACCTCCGATGATCTTTTGGAAAAATTTTGCTTGGAGCGTTACATCGATAACTAGAATATACACAATAAAATAAATTTGATTAAAACATTAATCATGTTCTGTGCAGTTTTGTACTTTCTCTACAATTTAATTCGATTTTCAACTGCTCTCTCTCCAAGTTTTATTATTAATACTCGTCAGAAGTACGGCGATGTTATATTCTCATCTATACGTCGTGTCGAAAGATTAAGTATAAAATATTAAAAATGTAAATGCGATCTGAAATTTTTACGGATGTGTCTGATCTATAATGTCATTCCTAAGTTTGTTCGATTCAAATTGTATGATAACAGACTCAAATCACAAGCAGCACATAAACAATACCAAAGACATTGTCTATTAATGGAGTTTAAAAAGAGAAATCGTGATTCAATTAGATTAAGTCTTTGGCTAAAACAATGTTCTTCGAACAAAAAAGAAGCTTCTTTTTATCTTTTCTGTTAAATTGTAGAATAATGTAGAAAGTTCCTGTTTTTACGTTTACTACTATATATATACTTCTTTCTTTCTTTTGACACTTTGTAACAATCGTTATTGTCTAATGATGGCAAGAGAACTTGTCGAAATATCACAATAAAATAAATTTGATTAAAATATTAATCATGTTCTGTGCAGTTTTGTACTTTCTTTACAATTTAACTACTCTCTTATATTTCATATAAGTAGTTTCACAAAAAGCCATGCACTACAGCAAACTAACAAAAAATCCACTCCGATGTTAATGTCCATATGGAATAGCAATATTTCGCGAGGTGGTGTTTGTCAGTACTCTTTATTGTAACATGCTCAACTCCTTCTTTTTTAAAATCATTTTAAAGTTTGTCGATTAAAAAAGTTTGTCCTTTTTTCTACATTGTTTTTTAAAGCTGCTATTCCATATGGACATTAACATTGAAGCGGATTTTTTGTGAGTTTGGTACAATGGTATCTTTTCGAAAAATGATTAATTTTTCATCATGGCAGAATAATGACTATATTACCAACATCAATTCTAGAATTCATCAATCAAATTTTTTTTCCACCATCCTCTTGCTTATCCATCCAACTAGTGATTTAATTATTTCTCTTAATAAGACAGTAGATCAGATTCACTCGACCACTGCTAGACAGATGATAAAAAACTGAATTGAAAAACATCCAAATCATATCGTCACTGTTATTTGTTAAAAAATGGCAGACAAAACTTTTATATGATCACATACTTAATGGGATACAGATTCACAAAATTTTAATTGTTTTGTGTACTTAAAAGTCAGATCGCATCTCAGTTTATATATATTTCGATAGAGCATGAAATTCTCTACAAGATGGCCGTTTCATCTTTACGATTTGTTTTGGGCCCGATTTTGTTATAGACCAGAAGTAAACCGACTAGGAAAAAATGCAATATACTTCCATTTTTTACTATTTCTTACATTAGTAAAGGAACAAGTACGTTTTGCGTCATATACCATTTTAAAGCGTGTCGAATTTTCTACAAAGTATGTATGATATCTTGATCAGTAGTTCAGCCTCTGTAGTTTTAGGCGTGATATCAGTTTTGCAGTGAGTCCCTAGACTGGTATTAGGTAACGTTGGATAACCTCTAAAGTAAATGGAAACATAGATTATCGACCATACTGAATCTCGTGGCACTGTTTTTTTCCAGGAAAAGATGGATGAACCAGTGAAATTGAGTGTTGAGGAAAATCCACCTATTCAGCTATTCCATCAAAACACAACCAAACTGCCTGGAACTCTCAGAACATACTCCCTTATCCTTGATTTTTCATGCCGAGTTAGAAAAGTAAAAACATCTATTTTCCTATTATTGAGATTTTCAGAGGTTTTCTACAGACAAGAATCTTTAACGAAAAAGATGAAAAAAATAAATTAAAAGACTTGTCTGATCTATTAAGAAAAAATTGAGGATTCTTGTTTGAAATAGCAAGGGACAAGAATATCCACAAGAACGTCGACCAGTTTATGGAACGGAAAGAGAAAAATAGAGACGTCTTTTTTCTACGTTCGCTTTTTCTTCTGGTCAGCTGAGAAAGAATGTAAAATGTAAGAAATTGTAAATACATTTTCTTACATTTCCCATCTTTATTAGATGTCGCAATAAACTGCTCATTAGCTGTCAGTTTACAGTGTGCCTAAAAACTGCCAGTTGACAGCCTGTTAAGTGTCTAAAAACTACTTAAAAGATGCCTAGTTTATTGGCCATTTCTAGGTCTCCAAAAATACCGTCTAATAACTGCCAGTAAACGGAAACTGTACTCTTAGGAAGCAAGCCCGTCTTGCCCGTCTTTTTTCTCCTAGGTATGTCTCTAAAATGAATTTTACTTTTAATAATAACCCGTATTTACCACATAATGGATTGACAATCAGGTTTAAGAAAGAACATTGGTTGAAAAGATTCTAAGTAGTCATAGTAAAAACCCATAGATTGAAAAAATCATCAGCGGCGATCAGGACAAAATGCAATGAATTCATTGTAAAATGACAAGATCGCCATTGCAATAAAAAATGAACGAGAGATCATAATTGTTCTTAATAAAAATACATTAAAAAGTGTCTGGAAATTTAGAAAAATGCCAGACCAATTTTCTTCTGTTAGATCAAGATCCATTAAAGTAGTGTTTGTATATTATGACTATTTATGGGTGCTTTTCGATGATCTATCTCAGCAGATGTTCTGTCGATGTAGCTCTTTAAACGTTGAGAAGCATTGCTTCGCAACTTCATCTGCGCACCGTGGGGATGTAGCTCATATGGTAGAGCGCTCGCTTAGCATGCGAGAGGTACCGAGATCGATACTCGGCATCTCCAAATATTTTTGGTTCTTTTCCTTAAACACAAAAAAGTCATCTGCGGATAATTAAACTTACAAGATATTGATAGTTTATCATAACGAATTCAACAGAAATAATTCTCGACTGCTTGAGATCTGCAGAGCGTATCCAGAAAACCTTTAGCTTTATATTATACTGCGCTCTTTTCTGTCTTCATCAGCAGATATCTCAGCCATCTCTTTGAGTATTTCCTCCTTGTCGTTAAGAAAGAATTTTCTGTTTTTCTCTCTTGTGATTGGCTTATCCATCGAACATCTGACAGCCATTTCTCCGTGGCGCATAGACACACGCACACATATAACTTGGATGACCCTCATTAGATGTTCCTAGCAATAGCTCCAGATCTCCCTCATTTAAAGTGAAAGTCAGCAATTTTTTTCGGCCAAAGCTGTTTTCTAACCACGCCCCAGCTAACTAGAACAAAAAAAGCCGATAAAAAAACTTTTTCCAAAAAGTGGTTGGATACCCATGGATTAACTCTTCATTCTATTTTATTTTATTTTTTCTTTCTCCGTATAATAGACATCTAATAAAGATGGGAAATGTAAGAAAATGAATTTTCAATTTCTTATGTTTTACATTCTTTCTCAGCTGACCAGAAGAAAAGTGCCGATAAAATGCACATACGCTCGATTTGTATAGACGTGCATTGTTGTTAAACGACAGTATAAACAGAGAATACACACAATACATAAAGCGTCATTTTTTCAAATTCACAAAACAAGTACATCTTACATTCTTGTTTACTATCGTTATTATTCACTTACAAAATTTGGTGTTAGTAAGTACATAATAGTTTCAGATACCGTTCGAGTACAACAATTTTCATGTGAAATTATGAATTTCTTAACAGTTTATTCGTCTTTAACTCGAATTAAAAAGGATAGCAGTGAATCCAATTATTTGACACAAGATATTTTAGCCACTATTATGTTTAATACTCTATACTCTGATTTGATAAAATTCATACCAGAAATTTGTCATATATAGTCTCTTTTACTCGTTAAAGTTCGACATAATCACTCTGACGTAGTTGGAAAATACTTGTATAAGGTACATGTATAAGGTAGCGGTAATCCATGTATTAACTTGTAAGAGACATTCCGCGGACGTATCAAGAAATGGCATCACCGAGCAGAAATGACTTTTTCTTTGAACCACTACCATTCGATTCTTCGTACAGAATTGGATATGGAAAATTGATTTTAAACTGGAGAACATTTTTTCAGCGAAATGTGAAATAATAAAAAATGATGGGTTTTAGTTCATCGAAATGGTTTTCTTTGTATTAAACGAAATTTTTATTAAAATTCACTAGATGAGATGTGTGTTAGGAAAGTATTGAGTATCACATTATTCAACCTAATTTTTCATGCTGATCACAAATATAATGTATATTCGTGATCAGCGTGTAAAGCTACTTGAACTATATTCAATTATGCAGATGTTCCTCACCTTGCAAAGTGTAAATTGCTAAGTACTGCTCATTCTTGTGAAAGTTTTACAAAGACCACTAAATCTTCTGAGCTAGTTTAAATCTCCCACCTGTTCAACTAAATCTTGAGCAGTAACAAAGAGCTGTACAACCCGACCCTAAGGTTGGACAGAAATACAAGACTAAGATGCGTGTATGATTTTTTACAATTAAGCCGAAATTTTAGTGAAAACCACAAAACAAAATTTAGGTTAAAATATATAAAATTTTGGGTACAGTAGATGAAAAAAATATTTTACCACTTTTGAAATTTTGTTTGTATTTGAACAAAATAAAATTACAAGTAGTATGATTACATGTGCATATAATACAGACAAGGTACTGTATATAACATTAGAGTAGATACGCGAGAATAATTAGAACAACAAATATAAAATAAAAAGAGAAAGTATGGCCATGGAAAACGTGTCCGCATAACTTTTCCTTTTTGTTTAATATGAATAACAAGATTGTTGAGGACAATCTTTATATACATTCTGTTTGTCTATTAATGTACACTGTTTATAATAAATACGATGTGGAAGTAAATTTTTTCCATTCTTGAACCATCACGGAAATAATGTTATTCTTTGTTAATGGATGATGATGATGGTTGACGCGACATTATCGTGAAGACTTGTTTATTCGAAAAGATGAATAAATAAGACCGGTTTTGTATTTTGCATATCATGTGTTTCAGACTTATTTAAGAGTGAGGCTATGCGGTTAATAGTGTGAGAGTGAGTTCGAAAAGTAGTTTCGCACAAAACATATTTTCATGATGTGAAACTATATCTGTAACTGTATCACATAATGACTATTCAACACATAACTTCATTGAGGTTTTGAAAACATGAATGTATAAAATACAAAACCAGGCACATTGATTCTTCTTTTCTAATGAACAAGTCTTGACGGAAATGTCGGTGTATCATGATGATGTACTCGTGCCATTCATGAAAAATACCATTATCTAACGGACTCAACCTTTTTGCTCCTTTAGTTGGCTTTTCTATCTTAAAAGAAATGAAAACTTTGCATGAACGTCTTTTTATCGTGAATTGAATACAAATAAAATGTCAGATACAAGAAGTTTTAAATGATACTTTCGAACGTCATCAGCCCAAAAAAAGAAATTTGAGAGGAAAAATTTAAAAGGCATACGAGTGTGGTACAAGTGAAAAAAATTTTCGAATCACATCTTTTCAGGAGGGTGCCACAAAATGCTTTCAGTTTTCTAAAATTTTTTTATAATTTCAGCTTTTTCGACTACAACTTGTAACGTTATAGTAATGTAAATAGTATATATTGTTCAGTTTTTTGAGCTTTATCATTACTCTTGGACCTATCGCTAAAAGTAATATTCTAGAGTTTAAAATCAATTTTCTATATCCAATTCTGTACGAAGAATTGAATGGCAGTAGTTCAAAGAAAGTCATCTCTGCTCGGTGATGCCATTTCTTGATACGTCTATGGAACGTATCTTTAGTACATTTATAACAGTTCGAAATATAGGCATTTATGTCTTTTATTTCATGATAATAGTAAGGATTAAAACTATATCATAAAATTCTGAATGTTTACAATCCTAAAAGCTTCCCACGAAATAGTGTCATAATAACAGATGCGGTCATTTACACACCATTAAGGATCGATATATCCATTTATACATTGGGATTATGTAGTTTGCTTTCTATAGAAGGTCAATAGAAGCTAATTTAAAAACTTAAATGAAAAAGAACTAGAATAAGGAAAAGTTTGCATTTGCAATTATAAGTGGCATAGCTATTCATAGATATCGTCAAAAGTTTAGCCAAACATCGTGAATAGTAGAGAGTGATAAAGAAAAGCATTTATTTAAATTTTTTCACAAAAAATATTCTAAAGATGTTCAAAAGAAAAAAACATTGCAGATATTGAAAGCTTTTGATTATCTCAATTTAAATGAAGAGTCAAGCTATTTGCGTTGGATGAAATGTTTTTTTTGTGAATTACCAAAACGAATAATCTTTTGTCAATTATTTTGTTTAATTTTAGAACAATTCTTCAATATGCACACATCATATTTGGTTGTTTTATTCTTATTATGTTGTTGTTCAATTGAATGTTGGTTTTTCAAATCAACATCAACAACAACAACAACAACAGCCGGAACTACTTTACCACCATCAACTCAATCATCAATATTTTCATCACCTTCATTGTCATCGGAAGTAAAGATTCATAGAACAGATATGGTTAATAGTATGCAACAAGATGCATTATCCATTGGTCAAAAAGCTTTACGTTTATATGGTCCTTATGCTGTTGGTGCACGCTCACGCATTAGTCGTCATATACAGGATGAGTTTAATACAAAATATCCTAAAGGATGGCAAACAATTATTGGTAAAGATTTTGGAGCATTAGGTATTACAGCTCAACCAAATTATTATATTTTATTTCAAGTTGATCGTGTTATGATTTTATTATTTAAGCCTCTTTGTTAATAAACATTATTAATATTGTAATTATGAACAAAACAAATGAACATTTTTTTTTCTCTTTTTGTTATATTTCTGTTAGGAAAAAGAATTCAATAATTAGCCTAATTCATGTCATCAATACCACAAAATACCGTCTGTTGTTGGGAGAAAATTTGACTCGAATCGCAGTTCAAACTTCGAAGAGCCTATAATCTACAAAAGTTCTTTGAAATTTTCTGCGTTTTCTGCATTCACTGATACAAAACAAAAAAGGTGAGCGCGATGACACTTTGGATCGTTTTTTGTCATTGTGTTACGGGTTTTCTGGCTTTTCTGCAGATTAGGTGATATAGTCTAAAACGAATAGCAGTTCGGACTTTAGAAATTATCACATGTTGTAGAGAAAACTACTTTGTACAAGCTAGCACACTTGTTAAATTTTTGCTTGCTCGTGTTTACTCTTTTATACGAGTTTTTCAAATAGTCTGCAGATCGGTTTTTTGGCTGTGTTTTCATAATGAAAGGGCTTCCAGAGCCGAGACACTTCTCAGTTTATAGAGAAATGTTTAATCTCCTTAATTATCTATTTGGAATTTTAAATTTAGTTGTAGCTTTATTGCAAGATTTGTTTGAAAAAGAGCAAGAAATTGCCGGACAACTCGATAAATAAACATAGGCATTACTGTAAAGTTTCGGATGAAATAATGCATCTACAAGATAGACGACAGATGGTACACGTATATGTAACAGCAATGGTATCATAGGCTCACACTTAAAACGTTTCGAAAAATAATAATTTGTGAAATTGAGTGGATCAATAGCCAATCAAAATTCGAGATGCTAGTAAAAATTCAACCTGATCCGGTACATCTACAATCCTATCCCGCACATTTTCAAAAGGGTCCGACTCCGGAAATCACCGAAACCAGTGATTTCCGGTTCAATCCGGTAGTTGCTTAGATTGTTTATGCAACGTTCTTTTTGGTTGTTCCAAAAATTCGGATAAGCAAAATTAAAGAAAGACTTTTGTTAGAATACTTAATTAAGTGAAGCGGATAAAACGAAATTGAGTTTCAACTTGGAAAAAAAGTGAACTTTGTTGATTTCCTCACCCGATTTTTGATACAACAAAGAAACATGTGAGCAACGAGTGCTGACATTTGATTCGATTTTTCACGTGATGATAAAATTTTCTAATCAAAATGGAATCTTTTTTCTTCAATTACGAGAATATACTGCGAAACTTTATTATTTTTCCTCGGGGTAGAACATCTTACTTGGATAGGACAAATTGTAACAGCATTGTTCACAGTATACTTTTACTCATGAAAGTACAGAGGTCAATTTCTTTACAGATCTGTATACTGAACAATAAATTACATTTAGAAAGCTCGTTGAAAATAGTGACGATGTGCTGAAATAACACTATAAAACGTTTAGTATCCTAATCCTACTGTCTAAAAAAGGTTTTATAAGAAATCTAAAGGGTGTAGAGAAGTATAACCATTTCTATTTTTGGAAAAAGTTATAATAAATATTTCCACGAAACTCAGCATGGTCGATTATCATTATCAGTATTTCTTACCTTTTCAAGAATAACTGCTGTTCGAGGTACCATTTTTTTATTATTTATTTCAGTTTTTGCGGTAATAAGCAGTAAAAAATACAAAACGCAATTTTCAAACAACAGAGGATGAAAACGTAGTCTACGATTCCAAGGAACTATTTTTCATTAATTATTTATATGATGAAATTCTTTCATCAAATAAATAATTAATAGCGGACAACATTAATCATATCCTGAGAATTTTAGCTAGTTCTGATGTTTTTTAAGTGAATAGTGAATTTTTTAATATTAGGTGAAAACAGCCTGAAAACCCTGATTTTCGTAAAACTGGCTTTTTGGTAGAATTTTAAAACTTTTTCCAAAAATAAATATTTCCACGAAACTCAGCATGGTCGATTATCCATAGCCCATCAGTTTTTAAGGCTACCAATAGGCACCGGGTGCCAGTCCTTGGAATCGTAGACTACGTTTTCATCCTCTGTTGTTTGAAAATTGCGTTTTGTATTTTTTACTGCTTATTACCGCAAAAACTGAA